TTTTTCTTTAGCCTTATTTGCGGCGTGAGGTACGGCGTTGTCTTGCTGAAACAGCGCGCTTTTGATGAATCTATGTCGGGTACTTCTCCTTCAGCGCATCGTAGACTTGGTTCAACTGTTCTTATGGTAATATTCCCAAGATTTTCCCATAAGTTTACAATAACCGACATTGTGCGAAACGAATATTAAATATGAACTTTTTGCGATTATTGAGGAACTTTTTCCTCAACCTATTAATACGGTGCCAATTTCTTTACATGTGGGGAGTATATTTCACTACAAGGGATTGGCTAAACCGTAAGGCACCGTGCTATTCATGAAGTGTTAGGCCGAAACATGTGCCCAGCACTATATAAGTGCCATATCAGACCTCATGAAAGGATCAGTATATTTTCTCAGATTGTATATTATTTTGAGAGAAGTTTGTAAAAACAGTTGAATGCAAAACCATTAATCATTAAGAGATTATGAGACAGATCTGGATATATTTATATTAAAATAATAATTAAATGGAAAAAAGCCAATGTTATGGACAAAAACCTCTAAAATTCTCGTAACTTACGCATAAAGCCAGTATACACGGAATTATGATGGTGGATTCAATCCAGGCAATAACTGATGGCGACACCCAGCATCCCTTGTTGTCGAAACTTTCACGAAGAATGCCGTACACCACAGCGATCACAGCAGGTACGCCTGAGGTAGATATGACATTACCCATATAATCTCTTTCCTACCAATTTTTTCCCATTGTTCTTTCATCCATCCCTCTCCATATCTCCAGAAAAGGTATCTATTCAAGCAAAGTAGTGGAAACTCATTGATGATCGAAACGTCGTTATCAAAAATGTGTCATCACAAATATTGCCAGATATCAAAGAAAATTCAAAAACATTTGTGCTTAACATAAAAATCCTAAAAACACTTGGTAACCATTTCCGCGCAATAAAGGAACAAAAAGTGTTAAACTTTCAGCATAGGAAATATTTCAATTCACGATGAAATATTTACTTTTGGCTTTTCGATTCTGATTCTTCGAAATGAAAGGAGAAAAAGTGAGAGTTTCACTATGAGAAAAACATATGACGATTAGTCAATCATCACAGTAGCGAGGTTTGACTACATAAAATTTGAAGCAAATAATAGTGAAAACAACAAAGATTTGAATAAGTTACTTTATTAAGCGCAATCTTACAGTCATCAATAACCATGCTTTCATTGTGGATGAGTTCAATCGCTTGTATTGTCGATTTTGCAATGACGCTTCTCAGGTCCTAGAAACTAACCCCAACAAAGTAGTTTATAAACAACGAGCCGATCACCCTCGGCGCTGTCACTTCGAAGCAATCGGAACAAATAGACGCCTTCGGCGAGCATCCAGCTAAATGTCGCCAAACGAAGGAAGCGTAACTGAATCAGAAAGAGCAATCGGCACGAGATCTGTAACAATTCGGATTCGAGATGCATCAATATCTGGTTGCCATGCTTCATTTTGATGCTATTTTCCAAGCCTACCACGACTTTGAGTTTAGCCTCTATTGGAGTCATTGACATGCTCCTAGAAGAATGGGATTTAATAGAACTTTTGCACATGCATATCTTCAAGGTACTATCAAAATGCCGAAAACTGCTAGGAAAAAAATTTCATAATTTTTATATCATATTCAACAGCTTGGAGCTGCTACAGTGAGACTGCACGAAATAAAGAGCACGGGCTAAAAATGAAAGACGAAAACGTTTTGATTTTTTGAACCAAGATGATCGTCAGTTTTCGCTAATTCAGTTTTCAGAGATGATTTACTTCTTGGTGAATTTCTAGAGGGTAAAGTGAAACTTGTTTTCATAATGTCACATTTTACATGGAAATATCACCTCCTTGAATTAGGGAAACACCTCGTATTCACGATAAAATGAGAAGCCATTATTCGAATTTCAAAGAGAACGTACATGATTGGCAAATATGAGCCTATCTCCAGGTGCTCCGTCGACGATATAGAAAAAGCAATTGAACAGGTAGACGAGACCCGAAAATAATAATGAAGTGAGCAAATGACGGTGAACAATGAACATCGGTTGATGTCTCATTGGCCTAAAATATCGCTAAATTCAAATTTATTCAATCTCTAACATTAATAATTTTAATGATTTTTCTTTAACTTCGCCACCACAAATGTATCAGATATTCTTTGGTGATTAAGTAAAGGTATACATCTTTTGAAAAACTCATTCATTGGGCCAACGTTTCAACGCGCTTCGACTTTCCCAAAGCCGATTGATACGAGGCAATTCTCACATTATTTTAGAACGAAAATGAAAAGAAGAGAGGTTTGCAGATATTGCCCACTGTGAATTTGACCGGTTGGAAGTAGTTTTTTTGGAAAGACTGTCAACCAACTAATGATGGAATCGCTCTTCAATATTTCCTGACAAGAGCTCAAAAACTGCCTTAGTGTTAAAAACAGGTCGTACGGCTCTAAAGAAGGTGAGACTGTCGAAAGACTAGCTGCCTGAATAGATTATGCTATGAAACCAGGTGTTTAGCCTGAGAAGAAAGCAAAGAATTGATGCATCTTGTAAGAGAATGCATCTGGAGGGAAGGATCAACACCTATAGGTAGAAATTTTGAAAAAGCTTCAAAGCGAAAAAACATCAACGTGATGAGGTATTCGTGAGTACAATACGCTTTTTTCTCTCTCGATAAGGATAGAATTTGATGCCGTGACACAAATTTTATGAAAGAAAGATCATGTTTGAACGTGTTCCGATTCAAAGTATTTTTGTTCCAAATTTAACCATGGCTGCTGAAAACATACAAAAAACCCATTTCGTAAAATGTCAAACGGCAGTAAGAAGCTTGAAGCTGGTGCTGTTCACAGATTAGAACATAATTCAACTGATCATCTACAAAGAATCAAAATTGTATAATGTGAAAACAGCTTTTTTGCCCACTGTTCACGACTCAAACTAATAAATGAATACGACAAGAGAGCACAACAGCAAGAAAACTGTTCACCGCCGCCTCATAGTCGCACATGGAACTGAGGGAAGAATGGGACGTATTTTGATGACTGATAAATCCTAGACAAACATCGCTCTAAAGGTGATACTGTCTGCTTTCTGCACAGTATAGCAAAGCTCGTACAATAACGAGCAACTTCAGGGAAGCGGTGAAGCCTCTCACGAAGAACAAGGAAGATATTGTTGATCTAGTATACTGCTCACGTGCTCGCAACAGTTCTTTCCTCCATTTTTGTATTGAAGATAAAGAAAAAACTCTTGGCGTTAACCAATCCTTGAAAGATGAACCATGAATTTTCGAATTTTTAGCCCCCTTTGAGGTGATTGAATGCATATCTAGCCTTTACAAGTGACTCGCGGTGGCCTACCGATGTATCAAATCAGTGCTACTTATCCTCCCAAACAAGTCAATATACTGATTTCGGAGAGATGGAAGGCTTGGCGAGCCATGAACGCGAGATCAAACCATAGACCATGTGTGAGACACAGAGCAGCTCTTGCCACCGAGCCACATGTGTTCTTCTGGATTTTTTTTACTTACATTACTCATAAGAATCATATTCAGGTACATTGACAGCGTCGGTAAAGTGACATATAGAATATAGTACACTAAAACAATGTCTTCAGGAGATAAAGCAATGCATTCACCATTGAGCCAAAAGAATCTAGTCGTCTAGATCTTTGAAGAATATCTTGTCCTCTAAGTTAGCCACCCGGTAAATAACATTGCTGCAGCGGTCATACATAAGGGAAGAAGACGAGGTATGAAAGAGAACACACGAAAACGGATTAGGAAGAAATCAATAGCAATTTGATATGGCTCTTCAGGATGATTGGCTGACTCGTTCGTTCCACTCCTGAGCCGGCAAAGTCAGAACTATAATCGGCCCTCAGTTAAACCGTATTCAAACCCACACGAAGGTTTTGTTCGCAGCTTAATAGTTCTTGATACTAATTGAATTTTAAAAAATTCATACCGAAAAAACCATAAAATGAATATAGCAGGTGTCAGGCACACAGCACTTATCGAAAACGCGATAATTCCGGCTAGCAACTTCACTCGAGCCTCCTGAAATGATCAGTGCACGATTTTTGTGGATATTCTAAAATGTTCCGCATGCTGAAATTTAGGTTTTCATTAACAATTAGACCTACACTGACACAAAAACCTTAAAATAGTAGAACTAAGAAAAATAATATTTTAGTTCGCTTAAAGCAAAAACACACCGTCTAACCACTGCTCTCGGAGAGATTTCGGTCCTGAGAGAATTGAAGATATTTTCAGAAATAAGGAAAAAGGTTTGCGAAATGTTGTTCTTCCAAAATATCCGTCATTCACTTGTGACTATTTGTTGCCCCGGCGATAAAGCATAGCAGAAGCAGAATAGTTGAATTGCTATCCTACTCGTAAACGCACATTAGTTTGAAGAAATTTCCATGTAGTCAAGAAGCTTGTCGAACTTTTACAGCAAAGGATTAAAAACAGAAAAGACCTATTAAGATCTGCCATAATATTCAGGTACTTTTATAAATCAATGGTCAATATTTTAGCGCCTTAGGGCAGAACTGAGGTCCAAAGTCTACGTCGAAAAGTATCAAGTCACAAAGTTTCTCATGCTCGAGTGAACACGAACACTGTAACTGCGGCAAGCTTCTCTTACAAAGATTTCCAAATGATAGCTTCACAGATCATTTTCTGGGCTATAATGCATCACGTCTATGGTCTATTGCCTCACTAGTAGGCGATCGAATTCTTGTTGGTATAAAGCAGCAACGTGGAAATCAGTTTCGTCTCTTTCTCTTTCTCGTCTTTCTCCGTCTAAAGCGGTTAAATGAAAATAGATCCATTTATTCTTTGATACCCAGTATCTGTCAGCGTAACTGGGTTCAGTGTCGATACCGACTACTCAAGCTAGGCCGTCGATAGCTGGCGGCTGACAGATAGATGCGCTGTAGCGTAGAAAGAGTGGTGTGCAATTTGGGCGTCAGTAGTGTAACGGCTTAGAGCACGTGCTCCCGGATAGAGTGAGGCGCAGGTTCTACTCCTGCCTAACGCGAAAGTTTTGCACATCACTCTACATTACTGGGTATATCTATGAAATCTTACCACCGCTACAGCTGTTAGATAAAAATAATTCCACTTGAGTTTGATCTCTTTTAGAGTTTTCTGAATTGAGACCTTGACTTTTCCACCAGAGGTTCACGTGGGAGTATAGCTGTGCCAAAACTTCTGGCCTGCTTTGAGAACTAGAAGAGTTTTGTGGTGCCGTCAGCAATTACTCGATAATTAATGGGACCACAGAAAGAACTGTAGATTTGTCGTAGAACCAACAGCCGAAAATTCTTCACAAATTTATCCATCAGCACTAAAGAACTTGTGAGTCCCGTTTAATGAAAAGGAACTTTAAGAACGAATTTTTGGTATCTCGCAATTAGAAGCGCAATCGTTGAAGGTGCCGTGCATTACGGTCTTTAATCGATCTCCACACCAAGCTGCATAAGTCTCCCAGTTTCACGAGATTAGGCGTCAGACTCACTTACATGTCTCTTTCGCATCTATGCGATCTAGAGATACTCCGAAATGGTCATGTCGAGATTTCTCGAATTCTCAGCAACTGTTTAATCCGCGTTCCAGTCCAGTTTCCCAAAATGTGACGAGTTGACTTTGAAATGTGAGGTGATCGGGCAGTGTATGAGGTGTCCATCAAACATCACTTAGCGGCAACCTTTTTCATTTAGATGGTGACAGATGGTGCTACGGCAGCACAAAAATGTCTACCCAAGCTATTACAGCATTCTCCAGCATAGCCTGTTGGCAATAGCTTAATTGCAAATATAAAAATTGAATAGAACATCAGTGCAAAAGATTGTGGGGGCTACCTATTACTTTGCTGGGTTTTGTATCGCCTTCTGCACTCAAAGCAGTTTCCAAAGTTTCTAGAATAGCACAGAATAGGGAGGTTTTTCGCACACAAGGCACAAGAAATCCCACCTGAGCACCGTCTAGTGATATCTATATCTCAGAATAGTCACAGTAAATGATCTTCCAAAATGTTGGCGAAGTCCAATAGCGTTATTGTCAATCTGTCTGATTCAGCAAATATTTTCGCCGTTTCCCTCGTGCTCAGTTGTTCGATGTGTTTCAGTGGGCTTTGACCAAATAAGCCTATTGGTTCCGAGAGCAGTAATTGAGGAGCAGTAATCGCTGCGCTTTTCAGTCATAAAATTCCGATATGTCACAGCATAGCCGCGAAACACGTAATAGACGTAATAAAAACTGTGATTAGATGACGTGCATGACGCTGAAGTGTCATCTTTTCTTCAAATCCACGGTGAAAACCGATTCTTAATGTTCTTTTATCACTGTTCCACTATTCGCTTTTCCTGCTGTTCATCCAGGAGTACAAATATAAACATTCAAAGCCTTCGTGTGTCTTTATCATTAGTTAGAGCTGCTCAGTAACTTCTCATGGAGCAAAAAGAATGAAGGGGATTGCAAATTTTCATTTCAAATCCCTTACTGATAGTAATATCGACCAGAGCCTTACCCACAGGCAACTTGTTGGGACGAGAAAAACGAAATTACTGCTACTGTATCCAATCCAACTATTTTTGAGACTATAATTAGATCTTAACAGGGTATGAACTATATTTGCAGTTGAAAACGTTACTGTCTTGTCTAACAAAGTCCTCTTTCTCTACTACAACACTCTTCCTTCACTTCGGCTGATAATTGAAAGAGCTCGTTACTACAAAATTATTGTAGCCTTACTCGGAATTTGAGCAAAAAACCCCTATAGAAAGACTTTAGAATGATAATTTGATACAGAAGGCAGCGGCACAAAGCCTACCCGGTTCAAGTAATTCGTTCCATAGAGAAATTCTTGGTGCAGAATCCACATGAGAGAGAAAAGATAGAATTATTCAGTGATGCCCAATCATACGGATCCGCAGTGAATAGCAACCTATTAGCAGCATTGAAGAGGTTGTCGAATGCGTATTTGACGTAGATAATGAATCCCGAGAAACTTTCAATGTGAAAATTCAGTGATTCGTATTTTTTCAGGCAGATTTGGTATTATTTTGCTAAGCCCGATAGGTTGCTTAGATGGAGGGGCATGCTCGAACGGAAGACGATGTGATTTTTCAAGTCAGCTCTAAGCATGGCACTAGACGCACATCCAGAATTTTTGCAGAGTATCGAATAAAATTTGTCCCAGATAAGAATTGTTTTGTTAGCCTGTCATAATAAATAGCACTCTTCTTTATAATGAATTTTGTAACGAAATTTGGTTAACACTTATTCATCACCAGAATGTGTCATTGTATACGATGCTCACAATGTTTTAAGGTTGATATTCTCAAGTTTTCTTTTTACTTTACGACCTTAAGTTTGAAATAGAGTTTGAAAATCTTGAAAAATATGTATACATCGTGTTTTTATGTTTTGCTATTCAAATTGGTTCCATTTAATTGATTTCACATGCTTAGTTGGTGTATCATGTTCTAGTAAACTATGTTACCGCACGCATTGAAATCAATGCAAAACGGGCTTGTGTCGTCACATCGAAAATAACAGAAATTTCAGAAAAAAAACAAAGAGTACAGATATAAAAGATTTCAAGGTGCGTTTATACTTGTGTTAGTCAGATCGGAAGAAAAAAATATTTTGACCATGGTGACAAAAAGTTTTATTATTTTTCTAAATAACTTTGAAGATAAATTTCGCACTTTGACGATTTCTAAAACTTCTATGAATATGTTTACATTTACCAATCATCAAATTCGCTGGTTGTAAACAGGGCAAAGATCCTTTGAACACGAAACTAAACGGTGCATGAAGACAAACATCGACCGGATGCCAAATGCCTACTCACTACATCAATGCTAATCATAAAAAATTTAGAGGTTTACGGTGAAGGACTTCTAGTTTAAATTATCGTATAAAGGGCAAAAAGTTTTTATTTCTAGAAAACAGACAAGTGGACGCTTTTTCAAGTGCCTTATTCTTAAAAATCAAATGTAACTCTTTTTATTTAACCACTTCTAGTGGTGGTATGAACTTTCAAATTTACCTTTTGATGCAAAGTGATGTGCAAAACGTTTGCGTCAAGAGGGACTCGAACCCACATCTCACTCTAAGCGGGAACGCATACTCTAACCCGTTGCACTACTGACGTCCAAGTCTTATTTTTATTACTTATTTCTTTCCTAGTGATATAGTCACTAGAATTGCTTCATCTCACATTGAAAGCATCTATCTAACTTTTTGAAATGCTTCCACTCAATAGCAGCCGAATTTTTGTATGACAAATAGAAAATCATAATATTTAGGGAAAAGAGAACCTGTTGGTCCATTGTACAACCCGAGTAGTCGGTCCATTCAATATTTGTGTCAGGTCGACTCACCCATCCCGTGCGACTGCATATTTTATGAGATTCTAAACAACTCCAGCATTATATGTAAACGAAAAACTGCCTACAACATATCAAAAACCTTAGCAAGCTATTGCACCTGATGGATATTGAACAATTGGTGAGACCTACGTAACCGATCAAGTAAGTAGTGATTCAGGGTTAAAATTAGGAGTTTGTTTAGTGCCTTACATATTCAGTCTCTTGTCATTGATATCCTTTGCTTGCACCCGCTCAGTTTTATTTTAGCGTATCTTGAAATGTCCTTCAATAGAGGCACTTCCTTTTTATCCCCACCCCCACCACCTCACATTATGAGAGCTTTCAACTGCATAGATGATCTCCGTAGACTCGAATCTCGTCCTACGACGACCATGTCGTCTCGTTGTGAATTTTTCGAGACGAGATACGCGTTCTCACAAATACATCGTGAGAATCACGCCAGAGAGCAGACGATAGTACGCTGTTCCGCGAATTTTGCAGATGATGAGAGCTGGCGCTTGCGTGGGAATCTAATGTCATACAAGCAAAAGGATACGAGTTCACATCAAACCACGTTGAAATTTTTTTGGAGTATGTCTCTGCGTTACTCCTTATAAAGTTTTTTTTGTGAAGATCTAAACGAAGCTTTGTTCTCTTTTTTCAACGAAGTCTCAATATCCTCTTATGTTCACAACGACCTCATTACGGCCATGGGATTCTGGATGTTAACTAAGTTGTGCACTGGAAATCAAACTGCCAAGAGGGTCACTCTGGCTGAAAGCATGCCGACATCGTTGTACGAAAGCCTAGCTAATAGTAGCGAAGTTCAAGAAATTACTTCATACTCTTCTAACGAAAACATAGCAGGAACGACACAGAACATCCCTAACATGGCCTAGGAGATCTAATAGAGCACAAATTGCTGGGTTAGAGAGAAGTGAGCACTCGGTGGCCTCTCGATTATGCACGAGTTATTCCATTTATAGATTGTCAACCTATTGAATGTAGGAGATGCGTGCGGGAAACTGCTTGGTATTACCTTGTAATGCGCACATATAGCAAAGTTCAAAAATCACTGCCTGGTTTCCTAATAAAAACATAACTTTAGCGATTTAGAAGATCCCAAACGTAGCCTAGAAGACTCTGGAAAAAGACAAATTGATGGTGAGAAAAAAGTGAGCATTGATAGCCTCTTCCAGATAGCATGACATCTTCGCTTATTTGTCATCTCATCAAATGCGGAAAAACGCGTGGCAAGGCAGTGGCGACGAATGCCTTGTAATAAACACGTAGCGTTGATTGCGCAACGCTTACCAAGCCTCTATCCCCTCGGGGTCACAAAATGGCTCCTAGACTATCTGGTAGGATAGAGAGGCCGATTCGACACACTGGTAGGTCCATTGCAGCTATTGTCTTGGCAAAATATGCACTTAATCACCTCTAACAATGTTAAGTGAAATGGAGTCTAATACATGCCACATCCCTCAGCCATGGATCAATACCGAGACTTTCATTCATCTTATCTTTTCTAATGAGGATAATATGCCTGTTAATATAATTATACACTATAGACTTTGCCCTTTATCTGTTACCAATCTTAACTCTTCACGTATACATTTATTAAATTAGATTGAATTTGTAATTTATTTGATATTCTAGT